CACCCGAAATGCTAGGGCTTACGCCCTACAATACTTATGCTCTGTCAGTGCGTTTTTGATAGGAATATTTATCTCCTATAGCAAAGGTTAACACCTTATTTATTTTAAATAAATACCATTTTAAAAAATTATATTCTATAGATACCTTTTAATGTTTATAGCAAAATATCTAATTTTGGTTACCTCCTACTCCTAAGCCACTAAATACGCTATTTAGTTACACTATTTTCTTTCTCTCTCTACTTTGATACATGTCATTCTCTTCCCCAAGTCCCTGAAAATACGATGCTGAATCTCAAAATTCCTCTCACCCACATCACCTACTATTAGTCAAAAACCCCACGCTCTCTCCTCTCGCTTCTCTTTCTAGGGCGACATGGTGTAGTATAGGCTGCCATGGATGCGCATCCCTTTCCATCAAGTTAACATCAGAAGGGTTAAGGTTGAATCTCATGAGCCTTTGTTTGGATCTCGTTTCCGAATCTGCCGCCTATGTTGTTCGCGAAGAAATCACTATTGTCTATTGCCTTAGCAGCAGGTAAGCTCATTGCTATTGATAAGGCCACTCATAGAATTTTGGAAGATTTATTAAGATGGGATTCCAAGAATCTAGTAGTGGAGCAGAAATTTAAAGAGTTTGAGTGTGATTCTTGGAGTTGTAACGGAATGGTAGCACAACAATGTGTTAAAGTGCTGCCGCTTTGTGAGAAGGATGAAAAATAGTCCTTACCCATTTTGACATTCTTTGGACCCCTCTTTTGTGTTACCTTATTATTATGGAATTTTTATTCAATTTGGGGCTGAGCAACTTGATTTTTTGTTAATGTATTTTAATGTATTTTCAATGTATCACGCTGTATTTACATGTATTTCATTGTATTCATTGTCTATTTTTTCAGTGCAATTCAATGTATCTCGCTGTAATCCATGAATTTCATTGTATTCACTATCTTTTTTTTCATTGTATTTCAATGTATCCCGATGTATTCTATATATTTCATTGTATTCACTGTCTCACTATATGCCATGAATGTATTCATATGTTTTTTTTTAATTAATATAATTTATGTATTCAGATGTATTATATAATTTCTCTGAAGATTGCTATGTTTTTGGGGTATTTTTCGGTTGAGAATCTTCTTTTATAACTGGAAATACAAAATTTGTGTGTTGTAATTGGGTTTGTTGAGTTATATTAGGAGTCGATTATGTTAATTGATTCACTTTTCGTTTAAAAACAGTGTAATCCCCTGTTTCACGCCGTGAATACAGTCGAAATGTCGAATACAGTCGAATACAATAATCTTTCCAGCTGTAATCCCATGTTTCACGCAATGAATACAGTCGAATACACTCGAATACAAAAATCTATCTAGCTGTAACCCCTGTTTCACGCCTAGAAATGCTACCGTATTCATGAATACAGTAGCTTAAATATATCAAATACATCTTATAACAACAGAAAACGTATCTACATCCGTAATATAGCAAATGATATCTATAGATAGCTAATTAGCACTAAAAGATAGTGCTTTATGAAAATTTCTCTTTTTTATACGCCTCCCCAGGACTTGCCCAAAAAACACCTTATGTAACTTTTTTTTTTTTCTGTCTTTGATCAATTTGCGTCCTCTTACAACTAACTTTGGTCTCTGGACTGACATTAGAAATTGATATTGAATAATAAACGATATTCGTTTATTATTCATATTTGAAGTAGTATTAACTCAGATCGGAGTCTGGTTCACAAGCTTCCAAGCTAACTACATAATGTTTGTTGGTAACTTAAAATGCTTTCGTTAAATTTAAAAGTAAAAAGGAACAAGAATGTATTTGAGAGCAAAAGATTCAACAAATTTAGTGTGCCCAAGCTTTTGTTTAGACAAATGGGATGATGAAGATCCTTGTAATTTTTAGGTTATTTTTAGCTTAGGCACAAAACTGAAATGATCACATTTCTTATGTCTTTATCAAATTTGTTTTCTTTTAGATTTACAGTTAGGGGTTTTTCAAATGATCAGACACACATGTAACTGCAAAGTAGTATATCAATGTCTTGATTTCAACTAGTAACTTTTTTGTTAATATCACAAGAATAATTCTTTGTTGCTATTCCAAGTTGGACAACAGTTGCATGGTAGGGCTTAACGTAAAAGCTATAATCAAAAGTGTCTTTCGAAACAAAACATTTCATCATCAGTTCAGTAACCACAAAGACATATACTTCCTGAAGCTTTCCACTGAAATTTCAAATTAGTCATTATAACAATATGTAGAAAGAAGATACGAGCGTTTAACACTTGGTGCTTAGCATCACTGTACAACCAACACACATTTATACAAGCATCAATTGTATCTCTTACTCGAGGGGATGGATTGAGTATGGGATGATTCCATCAAATGACTTATGTTCCTCTCCCATGGTATATCTTCAAGATTCTGAATGTGATGTCCAATAGATCAGCCCACTGCAATATGTGAAAACAAAGAAGAAATTAAAGATTGGCACCCAAACCACAGCTAGCTTAAAAGGAATAGCAGCAGCATCTGTTTTTTCTTGTGGTGTCTTTGAAGATGCGCTAGCAAACAGAGCTACATGACACAACTGAACATAACATAGATGTGATGTATTCTTTTCATGTACATGGCGGAGATACATCATTTGCTAGTCTTATATGGGGTAAGAAATGGAAGTTGAAAGGGTAAGAGAAGAAAAACTAGACAGTCTACTTTATTCTGATATTCTTGGTAAGACACAGGTCCAAACCCATTTGTTTCTATTTCTGTATCATTATGGCAGAAAAGAAATGTATCATTAAGAGAGAGTGTGCGCAAGTCGGAGGGGACAGGTGGAGGAGTGGGTGAACAACTAACAAAATAGTGCATACAAAATAACCTTTGAGGTGCTAGGCAATCGCCATTTTCTCCATGCCATCTGAAGTTCTAAAATCTAATGTATATATTCAACAAAGTTACCTGATTAAAACAAACACACATTGCAGAACACCTGCAACTCCTGTCCAAGCTGAAGGACCAGATTTTCCGAGTGCGTCTTGTATCAATAGCCCAACTGATGCTGCCAAAGACACAAAGGATACGACATATGCAATAAAAAGCCACAGCTTCAACCTGCATTGTCAACATTGAAACAGTTGAGCAATCCAATGTGACGTGGGGAAGCAAATAGAATCACAAATCTACATAGAAGAAATAACATGTGCAAGTGATAGATCAAAGATAGATGACTATACCTAACAGTAATAACTAACAGGAAAAAGGTTTCTACCATAATCATGATTCATGCCCAAAAAATTATAGGAGCAACTTCTCTAGGTATACATGCCAAGTTCAAGCTTCATCTACTCCATGAACACAAGGACATAAACAAATGACATATGATGTCAAAACTGCGGAATTAGATCATTCTTTCTCATAAATGGAACATAAAACCAATTCCCAGGCAAACCTTCAATTTCTTTTTAAAAAATTGGCTCATATTACCAGGCAATGCATCTTAAAGTCCACCAAGAAAAGGTCCGGCCAGATAATAAAGAAGAATTCAACTAGACGGCAAAATTGTTTTTTTGGACTGAAGGCATAATACTTATTCGTCTCATCACTTTCACAGTTGCATTAACAAAATTGCAATGTACTGAATCCAAACAATGTTCAGACATTAATAAATATCCTTTATTAAGAATATGGTAGACAGTTATGTACCACTAGTAAGGGGCTGAGCATCAGTCCATATAATTTAGTTTCTCGAAAAACTCGGTTCAATTTTTCATGTCAGTTTTGGTTGTGTAGAATTGTAAACCAACACCTTCATCAAAAATATTGTAAACCAACACCAAATAGAAATAAGAGCAGTGTTGTCAAAGGCGAAAAACTCTAAAAAGCGCTCCAGGTCTATTGGGCTTCAAGCGCAATTAAAGTGTGAGCTTTAGTAAAAAAAAGTATAATGAAGGATAAAGATAAAAAATATACATTTAATTCAAGAAAAAAGTAACAAACTCATTCATAATGTTTTTCTTAACAATTAATACACTTCTTTGCTGATTAAATTTGTTGTTTAATACCACTCAATTCAGGATAGAAATCATTGGAAATGAGGCTCACATTTAGTGCCTTGCCTACATTGAAGAGCAGCTTAACACGAAGCACCCTCTCTGAGCTTTAGGGCTTAAGCGCGCCTTAAATGAGCATTTAACAACACTGAGTAAGAGGCTTTCAAACTAACTATTTTCGAATTTTGCTTAGTATCTCCCAATTATACATGGAAATTGAGTCCCACCCACTTAAGTTGGAGCTCACTAGGGTTGAACTGGTACAGGGTAGTGTTCCAACTTAAGTAGGTCAAGCTAGTTTAGTTAGATTTCAAGACCACAACCACTTATGCCCACCCCCCACCCCCTCACCCAAAAAAAAACCCTTTCTTTGGCATTTGGCTACAGGAATTGATCACCTCGAGGGCTATCAAGAACAAATTATAACAACATACCCAGTATTATCCCACACCGTGGGGTCTGGGAAGGGTAGTGTGTATGCAGACCTTACCCCTACCTTACGAGAATAGAGAGGCTGTATCTAATAGACCTTCGGCTCACGAAAGCTATCACGAACAAATTGCTAAAACCAATCTGAAAGCTAGGAAAAAAGGACCATTTCCTTCTCCATAGCGGCAAGAAAGAAGGCTAAAATGAAGGCTCTTTCAGAGCCAGCGCCACCACCTCAATTTCAAGCAACACATCCGAGAAATGCATTACAGCAACAAAACAAGAGGAATTTTATCAAGGAGGCCAATGCAAGGTTAGAACCTCAGAAGCCCCGGGTATCAGTAGCTGCACAAGGAAAAGGGACGCATTTGCTGAAAAGACTAGGATATGAAAATCACAGAGAAAAGAGTTCTATGCCAACATTCGGTATGTTGAGGAGGGTGATTAATTGAAAATGAAGTAGGTGGAGGTTGATATTAGTCCAAGCAAGATCAATGAGTACTTTCACCTTCAAGACCTCAACATTGAAGACTTCGATTAAATTTCAAAATGAGCCTGAAATTCATGCCTGATATGTAATCTGACACAAAACCTCGTACTTAAGGCTAACATTTCAGAGGAGAATATGGCACATTAGCGGGACACTTCATGACCAAGAGGATAAGCCGGCCCTAACTTGTTTGAGACTGAGGCGTAATCGTTGTTGTTTGAGAAATGAGAAACAAGGAGCAGATGTTTGAGGATGATATACAGATATAGACTAGTAGGGCAATTTATGAGGATCCAAGGTAGTCCAAGCAGACCCCTATCATTGGAGATACATCATAACCCACCTCGTCGGATCAAGATTGTTCGCCTTGGAAACAGAAGTTGAGAAATTGATGGGTCTATGCAGTATAATTTGATCAAGATTGTTGTTGTTGTTGTTGTTGTTATTATTATTATTACAAATACTACTATATTATATTGTTATTATTTTATTTTATTTTTGAAACTGATGGATTTATGCAGTATAATTTGACAAACACAACAGAGCTTCATGGTGTAATTTTAAATGTTGAAGTTTAAATGTTTAAGCAACCTGGCTACATGGGGTAACTTTGTCGAGATGTACAATGAAGGAATATTGGAAGATTTTATAGACTCGCTTCATTGTAACATTTTGACAGGTGTACACTTCAGCACTGTCTTGGTCATGGAATCATATGAATTAAATCTTTACTTGATCAAAAAAAAAAATTGACAAACACAAATGTTGTTATCAAAGTTCAGCACTGTCTTGGTACTATTTTGGGAGATTTGAGTTACGACAGATTATTCTGACCTTAGATCCTTGACCCTTAGCCCTTCATAGCGCTGAAAGTCAGTGCTTTTGTACATAAGTGACTGCCTTCGCAAATTACTCTTCAAAACTCAACCAAGACTCTAATAGTTTTGCACTATGCATAGTGTTGTATGATGGAGCTAAGACACAAATGAGGACAGCGGGAGGATACTCAGAACACTTCCCGGTTGTGATGGGATTGCATTAGGGATCAACCCTTAGCCTATTCTTATTTTATGTGGCGATGGACGCATTGAGGCGAGATATTCAGGGGGAGGTGTCATGGTGTATGTTATTTGCAGATGAAATAGTTTTGATTGATGAGACGCGATGTGGTGTTAACGAGAGGCCGGAGTTTTGGAGACAGATTCTTGAGTCTAAAAGTTTCAAGTTGAGCAGGACCAAGATGAAGTAATTGGAATGCAAGTTCAGCAACGTTACCCATGAAGGACATGGATGTGAGGCGTGATACACAAGTCATCCCTTGGGAAGAGAGTTTCAAGTATCTTGGGTCTATAATACAAAGTGATGGGGAGATTGACAAGGATGTCACGCACCGTATCGGAGCATGTGGATGAAGTGGCAACTCGCTTCCGGTGTCTTGTATGATAAGAATGTGTCACTGAGACTTAAGGGTAAGTTCTACAAAGTAATGGATAGACCGTCCATGTTGTATGGGATAGAGTGATGGCCGTTCAAGAACTCGCATGTACAAAAAATGAAAGTAGTTGAATGAGGATGTTGAGATGGATGTGTGGACATACCAAGTTGGATAAGATTAGGAATGAAGTTATTCAGGATAAGGTGGGAGTGGCCCCCTTGGAGGATAAGACGCGGGAGGCGAGGTTGAGATGGTTCGAGCATGTTAAGAAGAAAAGTACAGAAGCCCCAGTGAGGAGGTGTGAAAGGTTAACCTTGGTCGGTATGAGGGGTAGATGTATGCTAAAGAAGTATTGGGGAGAGGTGATTAGGCGGGATATGGCGCAGCTGGAGCTTACTGAAGACATGGCTCTTGATAGGAGGGTATGGAGGTCAAGGATTAGGGTAGAACGTTAATAGGTAGTCGAGCGTCTCCCTACCTATGCACTTTATGTACTTTATGAAGCATGTTTGACCCAAGACAACTTAGCTAGAAGATCTTTCCACTTGGCAAACAGATGCCACATGTGCATGCAAAATGAAGAAACAACCAGGCACCTTCTACTACACTGCCTAGTTTCAGCAGATCTATGGAACATGTTTTTGTCTCTTTTTGGAATGGACTGGGCAATGCCTCGGAGTTTAAAGCCTTTTTGAACTGGAATAGTTGGAAAGTTGGTACAACCATCAAGAAAATCTGGAAACTAATCCCTTTCTGTATTTTTTGGTGTATTTGGAATGAGAGGAGTAGGAGATGTTTTGATGGAATAGCAACTCCAAACCACTCCCTTAAGGCTAAATGTCTTTTACTTTTGTACAATTGGAGTACCTTAACACCTGTAAACTCCCCTGACAATTTTTTGGACTTTGTTAGCTCTTTAACATTAGTATAGGACTCTTTGTACTGGAGCTAACAAATCTTTTGTATCTATATTTCTGCATCTTCTTGATGCCATTTATAATATCTCTTACTTTATCAAAAAAAAAGGTAGTCGAGCGTCTCCCTTTGTCTTCCTCAGTTTGTTAGCATTAAGTGTTAGTTTGTTATCCATTTATTCTTAGATTGCTGCTAATAACATTTATTTGCTACCTTGCTTTCGGTGCTCTATCTTATCGTTGTTTATACTTGTTCCCATTGCTTCTTTTTATCTTTTCTTTAGCTGAAGGTCTTCCAGAAACGGTCTCTCCGCCTTCCAGGATAGGTGTAGGCTGCGTACATCTCACCCTTCCCAAACCCCACTTGTGGGAATTCACTGGGTTTGTTATTGTTGTATAGTGTTGTACACCAGCTTGAATTTTACTAGAGCACCCTGATGCAATAACACTAAAAACTTGTGCTTTAAGGCTGAACTTGATTCTTTTGCTACTTTACATATCAAAATCAAGCTTACTTAGCTTTAACACTAACTTGGGCGCTCTAGCGCCAGTAAAGAAACTCTCCAATAACGGCACTTAAAGGCGTGGTTTAGTTGGACAATGAAGTGGGTTGAGAACCATGAAGTCTCACATTTGTTCAAACCTTGGTGGATAGGTGCTGGCGGGAGGTATAACATACCCTGTTGAATTAGTCGAGATGCATGCAAGCCGACTCGAACACCAGGGTTATCGAAAAGAACTCTCCAATAACACTGCATAATGCACTCCCCAACTCCTCAACATGTTCAATACACCACCAGTCGAGCTCAAATTTGGACTAAACATTTTCTTAAATTTGGGGCTCAGCTTTTGGCGAGCCCCACTTTATACTCATGGACTATGATTTCATATTGCACTTGATTGAGTTCATTAGACCGTTGTTGTGTAATTAAACTATTGGGGATTCACATTTGGGAATCTTGAATAGTGAATTACTTTTTGTTTCTATCTCAGGCAAAACGAATCAGAACAAGGCATACATATCATTGTGGTCAATTCACAACAACAAAAAAAAAGGGTTGATCTTTGAACAAAATTTAGGCCAATCCCCAACAGATTAAACTGACTATATTCACATAGAGTGTATTATTCATACCTCCACTCGCCTTCATCATAAGGAGAGTAGTCAATGTCCTCTTTCCTTACGCAATTAAACATCAAAGCAGCCAAAGACGCGAATATACCTACAAATATCCCAAATAACAACGAAATTGAAGAGCACAAGAAGAACCTTAAGCAAAACCCCTATATCCAGAACCAAGAAAAATAAAGAATCACATGCAAAAAAAATTAGATATCACGAACCCAGAAAAATTCAACAATCTTACGCCAAAACCCATATCTTAAGAACCCGGAAAAATAAAAAATCTTAGAAAACCCCATATAACAAGAATCAAGAAAATCAAGAATTATAGGGCAAATATGATATGAGAGATAGGGGTGAAATACCTGGGAGATAATGAAGGAAAGAGACTTTGACGGAGCTACAAACGACGGCATCAACCCAGAACCACCAACCGGCACCGAAGACAGCGCCGGACACCCCAGGTCCAAATATTGCCCATAGCTCTGGAAAATCCATTTGGATCACCTCTTCTTTACCCAAAAACCTGATGAAAAAGTGAAATTCCTTCAAAATTGATGAGACTTTTCAGTGCAAGGAGAGAAGTTTCTTCAGATTTGTGGGGTGTGATTGTGTGCTGTCTTCGTCAGTTGGTCTACAATGTCACTCTTCGAGTTGTATCTTTTCTAAAACAAAAAAAAACAATTAAATATACTTTCCGGTAGTTGTCAATTTAAAAAACAAATATACAAGTTAATCAAAAAAGATGAGGAAAATAAAAATTTAAGCATTAAGCTCTACATAAAATCATACAATGTTTATTAGAGGAGTTAAATTAAATAATTCTTGCGTGTTATAAATATATTATATTATGGATGTTCATTTAGTACTCCGTTGTAAATAAGCTTCCGACTCCGCCATAAATATGTTTATCACTTTGATACCCGGTTATGGATAAACATTACCCCGGTAGAAGATTATTCATACCAGATATAATAAGCTTATCCTTGCGGTACCTGATTATGGATAAACACTATCCCCGGTAGAAGATTATCCATACCCGAGCTTATCATTTCAATACTTCATTATGGATAATCATTACCCCTAGTAGAAGATTATCTATACTGGGTACAATGAGCTTATTCATTCAGTACTTCGTTATGGATAAATATTGCTCTCAGTAGTTGGTATAATAGCAGCTTACACAGCAGCTTGCAATAGCAGCTTACACATCAGCTTCCTTTCTTCTATAAATAGAAGAGATTACAGTTCATTATGTACATCAGTTTGAATTCGAATAATATATCAGTTTCTCTCTATACTTGTCTTTACTTTACAGTCTTTATTTTATAACACGTTATCAGCACGAGACTCTGCCATCTCGAGCAAATACTTTGAAAGTATTAGAGGTACGAACTTTCTTTTCCTAAATAATGTCAATCTTTCTAAACTTGAATTTGTATCCCTGGATATATCGGGCAAAAGCTACATGTCTTGGGTGCTTGATGCTGAGATTTATCTTGATGCGATGGGTCTGACAGACACCATCAAAGACAACAATTAGGCATCAAACCAAGACCGTGCCAAATCAATGATATTCCTACGCCATCGCCTTGATGAGGGCCTGAAAATGGAGTATCTTACTGTTAAAAATCCAATCATACTGTGGAACAATTTGAAAGATAGATATGACCACCTGAAGATGGTCATTCTTCCACAGGCACGATATGATTGGACTCATCTAAGGTTACAAGATTTTAAATCTATCAGTGAGTATAATTCTGCTATGTTCAGAATTATTTTCCAATTGAAATTATGTGGTGATAATATTATTTATGTTGGAGAAAACTTTCACCACTTTTCATGCCTCGAATATGCTCCTGCAGCAGCAGTATCGAGAGATGGGATTTAAAAAGTATTCTGAACTTATCTCACATCTTCTTATAGCCCAGCAATATAATGGGCTATTAATGAAAAACCATGAAAGCCGATCTACTGGTTCTTGTCCATTCCCTGAAGTGAATGAGACGAACTTCCATCAAGCTAAACGTGGAAGAGGTCGGTGGCCCTAGTCGTGGTCATGGACGTGGTCGGGGAAGAAACCCCAATCATGGTAATAATAATGCACCAAAGAAGCCTCCTTACCACCAGCAGTGGAAAAGGAAGGAACAAAAGCATGAAGCGGTGCAAACACCAAATGCAGAAAATTCATGCTATAGATGTGGAGGAAAAGAGCACTGGTCACGTACCTGTCGTACGCCAAAGCACCTGGTTGAGCTTTATCAAGCCTCCCTAAAGAAGACAGAGAAAAATGCTGAAGCAAATTTTATTTCTGAAGATAATTTAGACTTCATGCATTTGGATGTAACTGATTACCTTGCACTCCCAGAAGGAGAAACAAGTCATGTAATCGGTGGTAAATCTGTAGAAATGTAAATATTTTAATTTTTGTTGTTTGTAATAGATAGTATGGTTATGTAATTGTTGTACATAAAGAAAAAATTATGATTTGATAATGATGTTTACTATAATATATCTTATTTATGTCATTTTGAAGAATATGGATAACATTATTAGATCAACTTAAACTCTAGCAGAGTTTGCAAGAAATATACAACCACCAGAAGTGGTTATATTTCGTATATCTCATTGTAACTATATTTTGTTAACCACCAGAAGTGGTATATGCCTATGATTACCAGAAATGAGAATTTAGGCTTTTTATGGTTATAATTGAAGATAAGCTGCATAAATATTCTCTATATTAAATGCACACCTCGATTTGCTCCTGAAAGTAGTAAATATTTTAAAAAGAGGTTGAAGCATCACAATTTGATGTGATTAATGCGCATTCAGATTATTATGTTCGATTTCTTGAAGGATGAGAACTTTTGGTAGTATTAATCTATTCCCTGAAGTGAATGTGACAATATTAATAAGTCAGGTAAATATGAATGCGCTCTTGATGTGAATATATTACAATTCACCTCCAGAAGAGGTAATATAATTGAGAGAATATATACTCAATATTTCGTATTTTAAATTTGCTCCTGAAGAAGTAACACAATTGAAATTGCCTCCTGAAGTAGGAAAATATTATGAAAAGGAGTTTTCGTGTGCTTAAACAGTTGTTTTACATTGTTTATTTAATTGTGATTTTCTCTCATGATACCAGCAATGACTGAGCAATATTTGATAGTATAAAATGTATCAACAACTATTGAAGAGCTAACTATTTGCCTAGAGGATACATTACACAAGTAGTGCCCGATAAATATTAGATTGTGGATAATAAATGAAGACTCTCGAAGAGCTTATATACAAATATGTCATTCATATTATATGATTATGGTCAAAACATATGTTGTAGTAAACCTGAAGTTTACTAATACAAATGGCTATCATATTGAGACTACAAATGATTGGAAAATTGATAATCTTCATGTTTCCATAATCATAGGGAGTAAAATAATATGTATGTGAGAAGTTACCCGCCTTATTCTTTAATTCGTACTATATCATGTATCACAATAAACCAGAAGTTTACTAAAGCAAAAGTTTATGCTATAGTAAACCAGAAGTTTACTAAGAGATAGCACATGCCATGGTAAACTTGAAGTTTTCATTTGCCATTTTAAATGAGCTATTTGAGAATTCAGATAAGCATATACTAAAGAACTAGACGATTCTTCAGGAATTCTCATATATTGCTTGTTCTCATAATAAATTGATTATACCAGTTAAAGTTGGGACTAAGACCCCTGATTCTGAAATATATAAAAGGTGAATATGGGCCCGTCCACCTATCATGTGAACCACTTATAGGTGCATATATGAGATGGTTACATGTGTAATTATTTTCAACCTACAGTTTAGCATTTGAAATTGCTTTTCTCGATTAAGAGCATAATTTTCAGATTATGAAATCAAGACAGTTCATCTTGATAATGCTGGTTTATATCCAAGCTGGTTTAGCATTGAATACCTCCTATTAATGGCTAAACCATTGCTTATGAGAACAAAGCTTCATGTGTTGGTCTAAGATTTTCTAAATTGCATATAGCAACACTTGTATGCATCAGATCAACAATATATGATAAGTCCTCCCTTCACAATTGGTTTAGGATCAGAAACCAAATATTTTTACTATCTTTTGTTGCGTGGTATATGATTAATTTCTCTACCATAATACACAAAGATATGTTTCCCAAAGATGATTGGGGATATATGTTAGTTTTTCTAACATTTGTGGGATGGAATAAACAGTTGAAAAATATGATATATGAATCGAATTATCATTAATATGATCCTCACTTAGAAGATAATTCAAGTCGAATACCAGAAGCATTTGCTGATCCAAAATTAAATATCATATTTCAGCTGCAAATGCTCCTATTAAAATTAAAGTCTCTAAAGGATAGAGTTTAATATACGCATGAAGCGTGGTAGACCAATCGGTTCCAAAGGTAACAATCCTTGAAAAATAATAGGAGCTAATGATCAAAATGATCATAATGAGGAGGAAATAAGTTCTAGAAGAGCCCACGACATAACATTTTATGAAACTCCCGAAGAAGTTCAGGTACCGTAAAATAAAGAAAGTGATGAGATCTCAACAAGTTATGTCGCTTAGGAACTGACACAAAATGATCGTCGATGATATATTTGATACAATATAGTGCACAATATTGTAAAAGATTGTGAGGATCAGACCAACAGTCCATACACTTGAAGATGTCATACCATTTAGATACAAGTCTTAACCTATATGACTTATTT